TAGACTGTCTCAACTAGTTACTGTTGCACATTTCTAATTTATCTCCCTTATTCTGTTTTATTCCCCCAATCTGCCACCCACATAGCTGACAAAACAACCTTTCTGAAACACAGGTCTGAACATGTCACTGTCCCTGTTCCATAATCTGTGGTGCCTCCCCATTGCTCCTAGGTCAATCGAAACTTCTCAGCTTAGTGGTTAAAGAGCTCCTTTTCAGACTTAGGTCACATAGTTCTTTGCACCTTCTAGTGGCTTCATTTTCTGTTCCTGATTTGGGCTTTCAGACGTAATGCCTTTCCATTTTCATGGAATGCACTCCTTCTTCAACTGTGCCTCTTTAGTGAATCAATAGTAGCCAAAAAAAAAAAAAAATCCTCACCCGGAGATGATTCTCCCAGGGATGAGTCTCTTCAAAATTAGGTAGACAGATCTTTCCACGATATTGGACCTTTCTATGTTAGCAAGACTTTTGTGTTCCTCTGGTATAGCCTCTGAGAACCCAGGATCACTCCTCACACCACAACAAGGCATTGAAAAAAACTCTTAAGAAGACTGCTTATCATATAAGCCCCCAAATTCATGATGCTCAACACAAAAAAAATATCATTTATATGTTTTGTGTATATATATCACAGAAGATTTTTTCATTTATTATCTTATTTTAGCTCTTCTGTATATCTGTCATCTGAAGACCAGTCTACCTGAGATTGCTCTCTAAATGATGAAGTTTTTTTGTTCACAGTCACTCACTAAGACCCTTTAAAGAAGGGGCTCTTAACTTTTGGAGGGTCATTGGCAACTTAGTGAAGTATATAGACCCCTTCCCAGAACAATGCTTTTATCTTTTATTTTTTAAAATAAATCTACTTACTTTACATAGTCTATCTCTCTTATTGTCCTTTCCCATTTAACAAGCAAAATAAACATCTCGTCCTAATCATATATAACCTAACCAAACAAAATCTCACACGTACAAAGTGTACATCACTCTTTGCATTTTAAGTTTATCAACTCTCTAATAGAGGATGGGGACTGGTGTTTCATTTTCAGGCCTCTGGACTCATGGTTTATCATTGCATTGATCAGAATTCTAACATCTTTCAAAGTGTTTTTCTCTACAGTAGTGTTATCATTGTATAAATTGTTGTCCTACTAGAATAATGTTTTCTAACACATTAAATAAAATACATATTTTTACAAAAGAAACTAATGATACTGAAGTATAGTTACCAAAATATTTTTTCCCCTAATTCATAGACACCAGGTTATAAACCCCTGCTCTAAAGCATGAGAGGGCTTACAATCGACTTCTGTGGAAAGAGGAAAGAGTATCCACACTGAATAAATCATGTGTCTTTTGAAGCACTGAAACGTCTCATTTTAGCCTTACAATATTTCTTATGAGGTAGAACAACTATTATTATCTCCACTTAAAGAGTAATCTGTGACAACTATTATTATCTCCATTTAATGGCTAACTCAGGGATTAAGTAACATGAATAAGGTCACTACTCAACAATTTAACTTAACAAACAGATATTAAATGTCAACTAGGTGCAAGGTACCTTCATTAAGGATACAAAGATGAAAAACAACTCAGTTCCTGCCCTCAAGAGGCTAACATTCTACTTGAGTTGGGGAGGAGGGACGGGAGGGAAGGATATGTTAATGATTTATTCTATGTCCAACTAGATCTATACCATCTATAGCTGGCATAATGGCATTCTATCATGGACCAGCCTTTGAGAGTTACCCGAGGCTCAGAGAGGCTATTACAAGTCATGCAGCTAGTAAAGGAATACAAGTCTAGCATTCTACTACACCAGGGATGACAATGTGAGGGTGGGGAGGAATACGTATATATTAATAAATATGAAACCAGGTAGAGGGTGAATGGAACAAAAAAAAAGAGAAGGTCAGACAAATTCCTCTAGGAAACTCAAAGAGAGAAAACAATTTCAGCAGGAAGGACTAGGAAAGGTAGGACTTGATCTGAGCTTTGAAGAAAGAGAAGTATTCTGAAAGATGGAGTTGAAGGAATACATGCATAGTCCAGGCATGGGGGCCGGCCTGGGCAAATGTGCAGAGGCATGAATGAGTCAGCACTTCCAATGCAGAGAAATACTTGCTCATTATGGCTGGGATTCAGCTTTCAGAAACCCTAAGATCATTCCCATCTCCTCCTCTAAGTTTCTTTCTAAAGCAAAGGTTCTTAACCTTTTTGTGTCAAAGACACCTTTGTCAAAGCCTATAGGATCCCTTCTCAAAATAAAATGTGTGCCCACACCCATAATCGAAAGAAATGCAAATTTTCATTTAGGGGTTAGTGAGAATAAAGATGTAATTTTTTCCCATTCAAGTTTACATACCCCCTTAAATCTATGCATAGATCCCTTGGGAGTCAGTGCACCCCAAGTTAAGAACTCCTGTCCTAGAGAGAGGGCAAAGGTATAATTCTTTCTTCATAATGTAGACCAAGGCCTTGATGATCATTTTCTTCCCTAATGTTTCTGTGTGTTCTGACTTTACCCAACTCCTATCCCCTCAGACAGGATTCTCAGGAATTTCTCCACCACCAGCAACTATAGGATCTGCTTCTTCTCATCAATCTCTTTCCTAAAGCTCTAACAAAGGGTTTCAGGTCAGGAGTAATAAACATGGAACTCCTGATTCTTAGCCAAAGCTTTTGCCATTAACCCATCATGTCTCTGGTTGCAATCGGCAAGTATGGTGTATCCTGGAGCAATTTTTATTGTTCAATGGGGGGTTGGGAGTTGAGACCTCTGTCTGAAAGAGTATTCCAAGCATTAGAGAAAACACACACAAAAGCATGGAGGTGTGAAATAATGAGGCATATACAGGGGATGGTAAGTAATTCAGTTTGACTGGAGGTTAGGGTACATATGGAAGACTTGTATGAGAAAAGATTGGAAAAGTACAGTGCAACTAAACTGTAGAAAGCCTTAAATGCCAGACAGAGTAATTTGAACTTGGTTCATTAGGTAACAGAAAAATTACAAGTCCAGATCTATTCATAAGGTAGATAAATCTTATTGCAGTATAAAGAAGGTCTTGGGGAGGAGAGAACATAGAGATTGGAAGATTTATTAGGAGGCTGTTGCAATAGTCCTAGTCAGTAGTAAGTAGGGCCTGTACTAGGCTGGTTGTAGGGGGAAAGGAGAGGAGGCAGATGAAACACAATACAAAGAGGCAGTTGAAACATATTAGAGAAGAAAAATCCACAGGACTTAACAATTGATTGGCTATGAGAAGTGGAAGAGAGGAATGATTCAAAGATATCACCACACTTTCTAACATTGGTAGGTAGATGATGGTTCCAGTGACAGAAATAATCAAATAAGGAAGACAAGGTTTTGGGAAAGACATAATAAGCTTGGTCTGGGACATCAGTTTAAGGTCCCAGGAGAAAATTCAGGTGCAAATGTCTTGTCAGCAGTTGAAAATGCAGATCAGAAACTTAGGAGAAAGGTCAACCCTATAAAATATAGATCTGAAAATTATCTACTTAGAGACAATATCTGAAGGAGAAGAGGGGGCCTGTGAATGAAATTGCTAAAGAAGTAAGTATGGGGAAAGTCTGAGGATAGAACATTGGGGAACACCTTAATGGGTTATAAAAAGGACTTCATGGATGGTGAGGTCTTCGTGTAAACGCTGCAGGAAGAATGTGACTTCACAAGGTAACACAATTAGTTGGTCTTGGAACTGGGATTAGAACCCAGATCTTTTGACTCTCAGGCACGGCTCTTTGCCACATCTCTTACTGGCCACCTAGCAGAAGGTAATTCATTTTTCAGATAAATGACCTCTTAGATCCCTACCAAGTTGAAATTTTAATGATTCTAAGAAGTTCTCTCTTGAAAAGCACTAGCCACTTTTAGTAACACAGGCAGAATGTATATCATGAAACATAGAATTCAGGGATCACATAAACTGACCCAATGACTCCCTTGGTCCTTCTGCTACTTTCTTTGCCTTCTCTGGCTTTTTATTTCTCATGAGGGAAGCCTGTCCCACCCTTTCTCAGAAGCATTTCCAGGTCAGAGCTCTTCCACTCAATAATTCTCATAATATCTTCCCAGACCCAAGCAGCCTAGTAACTTTGGAAGAGATAGAAGAATAAAACTATTAAATAAGAAGTAGCACCTTAGTTTAACCTTGTTTGTGCTTGAAACCTGGATCATTCAGGATGTGGGCTTTTCCTGGTGGCCTACGGGGTTTCTGCATTCATGTATTCTTTAGAAGGAAGGCAGGGAGTCCACAAAGAGGAAGCAGCAGTGACCTGTTGGTCCAGAAAAATCTTACCTAGTGTTCTGCCATAGGGCGGAACCTAACCATCATCCTTTGTGAAAACAGTCTGTCAGGGGAATACATTAGTGGGGCATGTAAGTTTATTTTCTCCAGACATCTCTGGATGATCCAGAGGTCCAGGCCTTCCTGGTTCATCAGGCCCTTTCTCCATATGATCACTTCATGGCAGTCTTTTTAATCAATAGGGCTGCTTCCAAACGTGCTCTATACTCTTGCCTCCAGGTCATTACCTAGATAAGGGCAGGTGAGGGGGTGCGGATGACCAGCCCTGGAAGAATCAGGAGGGCTGGTCTTAGTATGGCCCCTAACCGTGGGGGCGCTCTAATTTACTGCCCGGGCTCCAGACCCCCACCAGGACGCTCTCCTCCGCCAGCCCCCGCCCCCGCCCCCAGCTCTCGTACCTCTCTATCCTCTGACCCCGCCTTCCTCTCGCCTCTCCTCTCCGGAGGCTCCTCCCCCTCCCCTCTCCCTGCGTTCTCCCTAAGCAGCTCCTCTTCTTCTTGCTCCGCCTCCCCTTCCCCGCTCCTCCCCGCCCCCGCGCCCCAGCGCCGGAGCTGCTGCGCTGCTGCCGAGCTCCATCTCTGCAGTCAAGACGCCCGGGTGCGGAGGCTGCCGCAGCTCCCGCGGCCGCTGCCACCTCCTCCCCTCCCCCACCCCCATCCCCATTGTCCCCCCAATCCCTGCACCCCGACCATGGCGCACGAGGCCGGGAGGAGCTCTCGTCCTGGGGGACCCTGCGGGGAGCTGCGGGCTGAGCCCAGAGGTGCGGTAGGAACCTGGGCCTGGGGAGGGGGTTAAAAGGAAAGGGAGGGAGTGGGGGGGCGCGCGGGATGATGTTTCATAGGGGAGGGGTTTACGGTAGGTAGCTCTGTGCCGAGCTCACCACTTAGGCCACTGCCCCGCCCCCCTCCCCCTCTTGCACCACCCCACAGCGGAGATAACGCTGCCCCCTCCCCCATCTCCCAGCCCCACCGTGGAAGGATGTATGGAGTATCTTTTGCATGACTACAGCCATGGGGTGATCTGGGATGGAGGGATGGAGATCCTACTGTATACTCCTTGTCAGGTGGGGGTGGGGGGGGGTAGGGGGCGGTGGTCAGACCATTCTGCTTTGCCTGCGGGAGTGAAAACCTTCCCGGTTGTCCAGCACACCTACCCACCCCTAATTATGCTGAGTGGGTTCTTTATCAGAGCCTCATGTCTTCCTTCTTCCCATACCCACCCTTACTCCCTCTGCAATCCTTTTTTCCTCTCTTCAGGTGACACTGGCGACGAGGACCAGCCCCAAGTCTGCGCCAAGTGTTGTGCCCAGTTCACTGATCCAACGGAGTTCCTCACCCACCAGAACACGTGTTGTACTGACCCCCCAGTGATGGTCATCCTCGGGAGCCAGGAGAATTCTAGGTCAAACTCCTCTTCTTCTGAAGCTCGACCAGAAGGCCAGGACAGCCCCCAGATTATGGATACAGAGCAAAGCAACCCCCCTGATCCTGGGCCCTCAGTACCCACAGATACCAGCTGGGGGCCTGAGCGAGGCCGAGAAGAACCTTCAGACCACTTTCTCATCACTACAGCAGGAGCTACTTCAGCTAGTGGAGGTGGGGGGCTGATTTTGGCCAGCCCCAAGCTGGGAGCAACCCCTTTAGCTAAGGAGTCTACCCCTGCACCCCCTCCACCACCACCTCCTCCCCCTCCTCCTCCTGCAGCAAGTAGTGGTCACTTGAACATCCCCTTGATACTTGAGGAACTCCGGGTCCTGCAGCAGCGACAGATCCATCAAATGCAGATGACAGAGCAGATCTGCCGTCAAGTGCTCCTGCTGGGCTCCTTGGGTCAGTCAGTGGGTGCTGCTGCCAGCCCCTCAGAACTACCTGGCACAGGTGCAACCACCTCTTCTAAGACCCTGCTACCCCTCTTCAGTCCCATCAAGACTGGCCAGGCAAGTAAGACACTTACACCGTCTTCTTCATCTTCCTCCTCTTCCACCTCTGGGACAGAAGTACCTAAGCCTGCCTTCTTCCACCTCTATCACCCACTGGGGGCACAGCACCCCTTTTCGAGTGGTGGGGTAGGGCGAAGCCACAAGCCCACCCCTACCCCAACCCCTTCCCCCGCACTGCCAGGCACTGCAGACCAACTGATCACCTCTCCCCACCTGGCATTCCCTGGCACCACAGGACTGCTGGCAGCACAGTGTTTGGGGGCAGCCCGTGGCTTGGAAGCAGCCGCTTCCCCAGGTCTCCTGAAACCGAAGAATGGTAGTGGTGAGCTGGGCTATGGAGAAGTGATGGGCCCTTTAGAGAAGCCTGGCGGGCGCCACAAGTGTCGCTTTTGTGCCAAGGTATTTGGCAGTGACAGTGCCCTGCAGATCCACCTGCGCTCCCACACGGGTGAGAGACCTTACAAGTGCAATGTCTGCGGCAACCGCTTCACCACCAGAGGCAACCTAAAGGTACACTTCCACCGCCACCGAGAGAAGTACCCTCATGTACAGATGAACCCACACCCAGTACCAGAACACTTGGACTACGTCATCACAGGCAGCGGTCTGCCCTATGGCATGTCTGTACCTCCAGAGAAGGCTGAGGAGGAAGCCACTTCAGGGGGTGCGGAACGTAAGCCACTGGCAGCTTCGGCCACAGCCCTGACTGCCACGGAGAGCCTAACCCTGCTCTCCACCACTGCAGGCACAGCCACAGCTCCAGGGCTCCCAGCCTTCAACAAGTTTGTGCTCATGAAGGCAGTGGAACCAAAGAACAAAGCGGATGAAAACACCCCACCTGGAAGTGAGGGCTCAGCTGTGGCCGGAGGAGCAGAGACTGGTACAACTAGGATGCAACTGAGTAAACTGGTAACATCTTTGCCCAGCTGGGCACTGCTGACCAACCACTTCAAGACCACTGGTGGCTTCCCATTCCCATATGTGCTAGAGCCCTTGGGGGCTTCCCCTTCAGAGACCTCCAAGTTGCAGCAGTTGGTGGAAAAGATTGATGGCCAGGGAGCTGTGGGGGCCGTCTCTACTGCCTCAGGGGCCTCTACCATCTCTGCCCCTGCAGTATCCTCTTCATCCTCTTCAGGCCCCAACCAGTGTGTTATCTGCCTTCGTGTGCTGAGCTGTCCCCGGGCCCTGCGACTCCATTATGGGCAGCATGGCGGGGAAAGGCCCTTCAAATGCAAAGTATGTGGAAGGGCCTTCTCCACTCGGGGCAATCTTCGGGCCCACTTTGTAGGTCATAAGGCTAGTCCAGCTGCCCGGGCCCAAAACTCTTGCCCCATCTGCCAGAAGAAATTCACCAACGCTGTCACTCTGCAGCAGCACGTCCGTATGCACCTGGGTGGGCAGATCCCCAATGGGGGCACCATGCTGCCTGAAGGTGGGGTAGCTACAAAGGAAAGTGGAGCTGAGCAGTCCGTACCACAAGCAGCAGGGGTCTTCCCCCAGCAGCAGCAGCAGCAGCAGCCTCAGCAGCAGGTATCCCCAGAGGAGGAACTATCTGAGGAAGAAGATGACGAGGAGGAGGAAGAAGAGGAAGATATAACAGATGAGGATTCCCTGGCAGGGAGGGGCTCAGAGAGTGGTGGTGAGAAGGCTGTTTCCATGAGGGGAGATTCAGAAGAGGCATCTGGTCCAGAGGATGAGGCAGCAGCCACCGTGGCAGCTTCTGGAAAGGAGATGGAGAGTGGTGAGAAATCAGGTCAGCCACCCTCCCTGCCGCTCACTAGCAACCTGGAGGAACCCCAGCCCATGGATCATGGAAGCAATGAGCCTTCGGGAGACATTGAGGGGGATGGACCACCCGAAGAGAATAGCAGCCCAACTTCAGTGCTCTCTCCAGAAGGGGAAGTGGCCAATGCGGTCATAACAGAGGGGCCAGGCATACAGGAAGCCAGAAGGAAGGAGCACGGGGAGAGCATGAGCAGCAGCAGTGGCCGCAGCAGTAAGCGGTCCTGTGGGGTGTGTGGCCAGTCCTGTCCCAGCCAGGCAGCCCTGGAGGAGCACCACAAGGCCCACAGCAAGGAGGGGTCACTCTTCACCTGCAGCATCTGCAAGCAGGGCTTCCCTGAGCGGGCCACCCTCAAGAAGCACGTGCTGCTGGCGCATCATCAGGTACAGCCCTTTGCCCCCCACGGTCCTCAGAGTATACCTGCACTCTCCCTGGCCCCAGGCCATTCAGCCTCAATCTCTGCATCAGGCTTCTGTCCTTTTGGTAGGAAAGATGACCCTACAATCCAGTGAGCCCCTTTAGCTGTGCCTCCTGCTTCCTGAGCCAAGGAGCCGAGGCTGGGGGCTCCATAGAACGACCCCTGAGATTTTAGCTGCCCCTTTATATCATTGTCAATAATAAATGGGGCTCTCTGATATAATTATATCCCCCAGAGATATTCTTCAACCCCCTATGCATTTGAAATCCTGGTGTTCACAGAGAATAGTCCCCTGCAGAATTTTTCATTGACCCTTCTACCCTTGTGAGGAACAGTCTTCTAGAAGGCCTTTCTTGTCCCCAGGGGAAACCCTCTTCTAGCTCCTTCAGGGGTGAACCTTCCCTCTCCTCTCTTCCTCTCCCTTTCCCTCCTGGCAGGTGCACCTGAGCACCCACGTTTGGAATTGCAGCCCAGCCCGAAGGGGCCGGCGTCTGTCCCTGGAGGGCCCCGTGCCCCTCCTCTCTGGTGGCCAGGTCAAGCTACAGGACTTCCTGTCCCGGGACGTCCCTGCCCAATTGGTGGGGGTGGGCCCTCTCTCTTTCTGGAACCAGTATACGGCTTTCCTGTCAAGTGGCCTGGCCTCTAAGCCCCCGGGTTCCAGCTCCACCTCTGCCACCACTGCTGCCCTGGCAACACCTGCCCTGTTTGGTCCAGGAACTATGGCTGGAAAGTCATCTCCAGCAGTAGGATCCAGTGAGGCCAAGGAGAAGACCGCCCCCCTCATATTCCAGCCTCCTGCATCCAAGACTGTACCTGAGAACCCAGGCAGAGAAGAGAAGTAGCAAACTGCACTGCCCCTCGCCCTATTCCAGAAGGTGCCAACAACTGGGATTTTGCAGTGGTTCATGGCTTAGCCCTGTGGGATGAGAAGAAATGAAGGGCATGCCAACCCACAGGCCCTGAGAGTCACATTTAGGCAAAGGAGACTGGTTGGTGGGTATGGCAGAATATGTCAGCCTTCTCCTAACCCTCACAGAGGCATTGGAGAATGACCGCTTTCTCGTTTTGAAGCTTTCCCAATGTAGGGTTTGGGGAGTGCAAGTTTGGCTCATTTCTGGAAGGAACAGTATAGTTGGGGTTGAGGGGGATTCATGGAGTGGAGATGGGGGCATCAGGAGGGTAAGCCTGGTACAAACTCTTGTCATTCTGGGTCCAAGACATAAGTCTGAAGAGGGGGGGTCCCAATTCAGATAGAATGGCTCTAGTGAATGTTTGGTTATAGTAATGACACAAAGTGCAACAATGCACAAAGAGGGTGATGTAACAAGTCCTCCCAAACTGGGGTGTTTCCAGTTTATTAGATATCCCCCCTTTTCCCTGGATCCTGCTTTTCCCCTAATGCCCTTCTTCTGTCTAAGCTCTTCCTCCTCCCCACTCTCCCTGCCCATGGACCAGGGCTTATGTCTTCACTACTATCTGACTCTTAGAGAGACCCAGACTTTGGGAGACCAGCTCCTGGAGGTATATGCCCTTCTTCTTCCTCCTGTAACAGACAAGATGTAGTATTTACTCTTAACATAGGATCATGCGGAACCAGGAGCTCCAGAGGAGGAGTAGCGTTCGGGAGCCCTGCCGTCGAGGGACATGAAAGGCAGCTTCTCCTATAAAACTGTAGGCCCCAGAGATTCCTAACATAGTGAAATGTGCAGGGCAGAGAGGGGAGATGCTAGTGTCTTTCTCTCCATCATTAAAGGTGTTTTGACCAAGCATGTGTGTTGTTTGCTCCTTGTGACTCGGATTGTTTAGCAAGAGCAGTCTCTATGCACTGCACCACTGAACTCTCTCCCTTTCCCCTTTAGGCGTCTAGTTCTCTGCCAGAATTGAACGTGTGGTATTGATGTTAAGTTTGTCCAGTCTTATCCTATTATAACTTCTAGAATGGAAATGTTCCCTCCCTCTACTTTAGCCTCAAAAGGTAGGAAATTTTAATTCTCTGTTCCATCCATCTCAGGTTTTCTCTTTGCCACTACACAAACCTAGGGCCTTCTGCTACCATATAACTGTTCTTACAGTCATCTGATTTCCCCCCAAACCTCAAGTTGTCACCAGGTCAGCTGAAGGAGCCAGGAAGGTGAACTGATCCTCTTATTCCTTGAGATAAAGAGATGGAAACAAACAAACAACCAAAAAAAAAAAAAACAACCCCATGAAACTATGTGAGGTAAATAAATAGGCTTACCCCTACTGCTTCATCAAAAAATAATGTGATATATCTCCAACACTATTGAGTGTGGTGGAGGGCATCCTATGGCCAGGATGAAGGAGATATTTTCTACTCCAGTCTCAGATAAAGTCCAAATTTTGATTTGGAGGAAGTGTTGAAACATTGTTTGGCTCCATTGCCTTTCTTCTCTAGAGAGAAGAATCTCCAGGCCCCTAAGTGGCTGTTTGTGGGATGCTTCAAGTTTAACCAGCAGCTCCTTTTGTGAGGCCTGCTCCGGGATAAAGGGGAAGGAGGTGAGTAAACCTATTCTTTGCTTACACTCAGGCAGAAGCAATGAATAGGTGTTAGATTCCAGTTGGCCCCACCAGAGCTGTATGATTTCCTTTTAAAAATACAGCTGGTGAATAGAAGAGACCAGGAGCCCTGTGAGGCCCAGAATAAGGAAGAAATAGCTCCTGTCCCTTTAATTCCTGGCAAAGCTTTGTAAGTCTCTTGTTCATTTTCCTCTTTCATTCTCTCTAAGGAGGGAGGTGGGTCAACAACCCCTTCCATTCTCTCTACTTCCCCCACTCCCATTGGTTACAGATAATGCTATGTAACTAATTAAACCTGACTTGCCCTCTGTTGAGGTGCCAGCTCTCATCGTAACAGCTGTCTGTGAGGCTTCTATTGAAGGACACTTCCTTACTTCAGGTCAACTCTAATCCCAGCAAAGCTCTCCTGCCTTCCCACCCCCTCTCCCACTGTTACATTTCATTCTTGTCTGCTTGCCTCTTCATTCTCTGAGCCACCTTTTCCCCTCTTCACTCTTTCTATTCTTCTTCCCACCCTCTACTATTATTTCAGTCCAGCCCTTTTCTATGTCTTCAGCCTTACCTTATTCCTTCTCTCCATGACTCACTTATCTCCCCCCTCTCACCTTCCTTATCCTCCATTCTCACATTGTTTTCATCTAGTCAACTCTTCTCAAGGTGCTTGACCCCTAATTCAGTGGCCTTGGTGAATGAGTGACTGAAACTTGCAATGCTTACAATCAGTTTCTTAGGTCTCTAGAGAATCTTAAAAAAAAAAAAAGAAATAATGTTTTTTCAAATAATAAAGAGGCAGGATTGTGTCTTTCAGATGGATATGTTTCAAAAGAAAAATAAACATAAGGATATATATTATACTTGATACTGGCACAATTGTAAAGAATTGACCTTAATATGTAACAGAATGGTAAAGATAAGATAGGCAATAGCTCCTGAGGAAAACAGTAGGGACTAAAGATAGCAAAATCTCTACAGCCCCTTATTGGGGCACACCTACCCTGGTTCCTGTTGTCCAAAAAGGTAGATATTAATTTAGAAGTGTGCTTCCTTGGGTTGAACCTCCCCTTTACATCCTACCACTCTATAGCATTCCTATGTTCAGGAGGCAGCATAGAGCAATAGAAAGATTACTGAATTTGGCATCAGGGGACCTAAATTCTAATCCTGCCATTCACCACCCATGTGATTTTCAGCCAGACACTTTCTCTTGGCCTCAGTTTCTTCATCTGTGCAATGAGAGTACTTCTTCAAACTATAAATCTTTGATCCTATGATGAGCATATGATCCATCTTGGAACAGATAAAGTTGCCTCCTAAAGATTCCTCTTTCTACTAAAACAAGTAGGTCTTCCAAGGAAGACCAGTCTCCAGTATATTTTCTATTTTGACGAATCTATTACTGAGATTCCTCCCACCAGCTAGGTGGCGCAATGGATACAGCAACAGCCCTGGAGTCAGCAGGACCTGAATTCAAATCTGGCCTCAGAAACATAAAACTCATTAGCTGTATGACCCTAGGCAAGTCACTTGACCCCAATTGCCTCACCAAAAAAAAAAAAAAAGCAACAACAACATACTTGCACTCATTGCCTTATAGCTGAATCAATCAGTAAACATTTATTGAGCTACTATGTGCTAAGCACTGGGGATACAAAAAGCAAAAGATAGTCCCAGCCCTCAAGGAACTTGCAAGCAAATCAGGGAGACAACAAGCAAACAAATATATACAAAGCAAGCAATATAACAGGATAAACAGGAAATGATTAACAGAGGAAAGGTACTGGACTTAAGAGCAGTTGGGGAAGGCTTCCTGAAGAAGGTGGGATTTAAAGGAAGCCAGGGAGGTCAGTAGTTGGAGCAGAGGAATGAGAGCGTTCCAGGCATGGGGAACAGCAGAAAGAACACCTGGAACTGAGAAATGGCGTGTCTTATTAGTGGAACAGCCAGGAGGCCAGTGTCACTGGATCAAAGAGTACAAGTCGGGAAGCAAGGTGTAATAAGACTGGGAAGGTAGAAGGGGACTGGGTTATAAAGGGCTTTGAATGCCAAACAATATTTTTTGTTTGTTCTTAAATGTAATAGAAAATCACAGTGGGGGTGGGGGTGGGGAGACATGATTGGACCTAGTTTTTACAAATTCACTTTAGTAGCTGAATGGAGGGTTGATCAATATTATCTGTAAAATGGTGATAATAGCACCTACATCCTAGAGTTGTTACAAGGATCAAATGAGATAATTTGTAAAAGCCCTTTGAAAACTTTCAAGTGTTAACATTATTAATATTTTCTAAGGAAAGTAAATGACCTGTTTCACTGTTGGCCATGTTTTTAAGAACTGATAATATAAAAGAATTATAAAAGAAAAAAGAATACATTGTGTCAGAGAACTGAGAATATATATGCAAAGGTGAGAAAAGTAAGAGTTTAAGGTCTGTTGTTGGTACGGGTGACCAAATGAATAAAGTGGAGATAAAGATGGGAAGGGGGCAGCTAGGTGGCACAGAGGATAGAGCATTGGACCTGGAGTCAGGGAAGAATCATCTTCCTGAGTTCAAATCTGGCCTCAGGCACTAGTTGTGTGACCCTGGATGAGTCACTTAATCCTGTTTACTTCAGTTTCCTCATCTGTAAAATGAACTGGAGAAGGAAATGGCAAAATCACTCTAGCGTCTCTGCCAAGAAAACCTCAAATGGTGTCATGAAGAGTTGAACACGACTGGAAAAGATGGGAAAAGGAATAGAAATTAATGGAGTACACCTTTGATCACTTTTAGCAAATGGACATACTTCTTGGCTAGGAAAAAAAAAACCTGAAATGAGATCCTTCATTATGCCAAAAGAGGCAGCATGATATGGTGGAATAAACACTGGCTAGGGAGTCAAAGAACCTGGGTTTAGTCCCAGCTCTGCATGAATGTGTGGCAAAGTCATTTAACTCCTTGAGCCTCTGTTTCCACATTTGTAAAAATTAGTAGGTTGGCCTCTAAGGTCCCTTTCCAACTTTAGATCTACATAATTCTACATTAAATTCTATAGAATTTAATTCTATAATGAACTGTTGTAATTCTATAATGAACTGTTTTTGGAACATAGAAAAAGTTGCATTGAAAACTGTTGGCTACTAACTAACGTACAGAAAAATCTGGTCCCCTTAGCTTATCCTGCATCATCCTCTCCCTTAAATTGAAAAAAAAAAATTGTTGCTATATTTTTAGGCATATTGGTTACTACCAACCATACAACTTTCCTATAGCAAATGTAAATTCATATGAAATGGTAGAATACCATTTCTCAACAGCAAGGAAAGATGTCTGTTTTAACTTTAGATGTTTGGGTCAGTTCCCGTTTCAATAAGGAAGTTTCAATAAGAAGTAACGGAGACCTGCGTTTTACCCGCAATTTCAACGTGTATATTTCAAAAGGCATTTGCCCAACCAAGTAACCCAGGTTTAGAGACTTAGGTGGAAAAAACTTCTTGCCAACATTTCTCATAACCTTTTTGAAATTTCCCTCTCAAATACTGTCCCTTCCTTTCCATGATAAATACCACTAACCAGCCTTTAGACCTTAATCGCCTGATACCTAGACTACTACAATAATTTAATTCATCAAACATCTACTAAGTTCCTACTCTTTGCAAGGCACTGTGCTGGTCATTAAGGGTACACAAAGATAGAATAGGAACTACTGTCAAGAAACTTGAAATCTAAAGGGCAGTAGTTTGGAAGGAAGGGGTTGGAGAGAAAGGAAATATAAAAATAGCTATCGTACAAGGAAGAGTGGCAAGTTTCAAAGAGCTGTACAAGCCACATCTTGTGTGAAATTTAGTCTCCGTGTCTCCACATTTTTCTCTGCCAATCCATCCTGGGCATCATGGCCAGATTAATCTTCCTAAAGCATAGCTCTGATCATATCATTCTCCTATTCAAAAATATTTAATTATTTCACGTAGCCAACTGAATAGAATCCAGACATCTCAATGTATCATGCAAGGACCTCCAAAATACCTTTCTTTTTCAAACCCCAACTTTTAAAGCTTTTTCTCCCTTTCCTCCCCAATGTGAATCCCATGCTTTAGTCATTAAAGAGTACTCAGTGTTCCCATGCAAAAATCTCTTTTCCAAGTCTGTGCCTTTGCTCATGCCATTTCCCATTCCTAATATTCACTCCTTTCACATATTTGCCTACTAGAAGGAAATGCTAGCTCTTTTTCAAGACCCAACTAAAATGCT